GGTCACGGGTTCGACTCCCGGTCAGGGCACATACCCAGGTTTCAGGCTCGATCCCCAGTAGGGGGCATCCAGGAGGCAGTCGATCAATGACTCTCTCTTATCATTGAGTTTTCTCTCTCTCTCTCCCTCTCCCTTCCCTCTCTGAAATCAATAAAAAAAAAAAAAAAACATATTCAAAATATTTGAATGCTCATTACTTCTCTTTTGTAAGTCATAGCAGTGTGAACAATGCTACCAAATGAGTTTTCATCTTTAGTCTTTGATACCACCTCTACTAAACTTTTGAAAGAGATATATTTTTCAGAAAAATATTTCATTTCTGTACAGTTTCCTTTGTGGTTTACACATAATGGTGTCTCTCTAATTCTCAAAGGCTTTTCCCACCATCCCCAGCTTCTGAAGAGGAGTCAATTCTCTGGTTGTCCAGGCAACTGCATAAACTGATCACTTAGTACATCTGTAATTAGTTATGTGCATGCTAACTGATAGAATGCTACTTTCCTCCACTATATTATAAACTTCACTAAGGCTGCAGCCAACCAGGTTTGTCCCGTTTTACTGTGATTTCAACCAGCTGCTATGAGTGTCTGGCATATGGTAGGTGCTCAACTAATATTTCTTAATACATAAATGAAAACAACAAAAAAGATGAAGGGAGAGGACATTATACTAAGTGAAATAAGCCAGACAGAAAAAGACAAATACCAGATGATATCATATATATGTGAAATAAAAAATAAATAAATAAATAAATAAAGTCAAATGCATAGAAACAGAGGGTAAAATAGTGGCTGCCAGGGTCTGGAGGGTGGGGAAATAGGGAGAGGTTGGTAAAACTTTCAGTTATGAAATGAATGAGGTCTGAGGATCTAATGTATAATGTGGTGGCTACAGTTGATTATACTGTATTGTATAATTAAAATTTTCTAAGAGAACAGAGCTTTAATGTTCTTGCCTAAAAGAAAAAAGGGTAAATATGTGAGATGATAGATGTGTTAATTAATTTGATGGCAGGGGTGTCCTTTTATAATGTATATGGTATATCAAATCATCATGTTTTCACTTTAAAAGTCTTATACTTTTGTCAATTATACCTAAATAAAACTAGAAAAAAATGAGAATAAGGTAATATAATTTAAAATCCACCAATACCCACTTAGCCTAGTATCTTCTAAATAATATGTTTCAAGTGTATTATAATATTTGTCCAACCATACTCCATGAAATATATTCACTACAAACGCTGTTACAGTGTCAAGCATCGAAAGCATCAGTACTTGGCATCATCAGTTATGACGATTGGTTCCTTTAGCAAACAGTCATTTTTTAAATGTCTAGTATATTTCTAGCATGGCGCCAGCCACAGTGCATAGAGAAGTAATCCAATGAGAAATGATCCTTTCCTTCTTAATACCAGGTCACACTAGCCTGCATTTGTAGGACTGACAGGTTACTATGACTTATCTCCTTGAAAGGTCCCAAGGCAATTTTTGACCACTTACTTCCTGGTTCATTCCAAGTCTTAGTAAAGGAATGCAATGAGGTATTCAACCAATTGCTTTTCGGCTAATTCATTTTTTAATTCTTTTTTTTTTTTAGCTTAAAACAGGTAATCCCCACTTTTTGAGTGGTTTCTTTTTTTCTCTGCCTCTTCTATCTCATACCAAGGGGGACACCCAGTTTTCCTGGGTGACTTTTTCATGAGCATTATCATCTCCCACTCCTAACTTGGAGACAGGTGGGGAAACTGACTCTTGGCCCCTATGTCTTCTCATCGCTGCCTTAAATGTGAAGTTAATATAGTCCATCCATTTATATCACTCACTTCTAATAATCACCGCTTCCTAGATGTTGTATCACTCGGATCACATTTTTTTCCTTCCAACACTTTATTATTTTTTCTTTGAAATTTAAACTACACTTGCTATTATTATGGGGAAGAAAGTAGAGTGGTTAAGAGCACAGATCCTGGAGTCACACCATTTGGGTTTGAATCCTGACTCTAACACTTCAACTGTGATTAAAACAATCTGACATCTCTGTACCTTAGTGTTCTTATTTGTGTAGTGAGTAATAATAATATCTACATTATAAGGATTACATGCGTTAAGGCCCATAAAACACTTAGTCACTGGCACATTAGAAAGCACTCTAACTTGCTACTGTCATTATTGTCCTTGGTACCATTAATACCCAAATTGCTGACTACTGACTTTCAACTTCTGGACATATTGGCGTCCACACATAGTTCTACCTTGAACCAGCTTGTCCCACAGCCCCAGTTTACTCTAAGATTTCAAATGTATCTCTCTCCAACTCTAAAAATCCTTCCTCATCTTTCTCGCTCTTGAAAACTCCTAGAACCTTCTCTCTCTTCTCGTTTAAATCACTGATTCTCTCCAAAGAGAGTTAGCAACCTAACTTCCCAACCTTTAACTCTCATAATTTCCTAATATGAATCTTAATTAGTCTAATCTTAATCTCTTCCCTCTTCTCAATGTCCAGAGACTGATAATCTCACTTGTCCTTTAATAACTAAATTTGTATCTTCCATGAAGCCTTTTCCCATCATTCTAGGACATACACATTCCATCCTACAACCTCCTTCCCCTGCCCAAACACACAAACTCACAAACCACACAAATCTTATATACTTCACAGAACTGCTTCCCTGGGCATTTAGTGAGAGTCTCTATTTTACATGCATATATGTTACCTCCTCCCCTCTATTATAAACTCCTTGAAGGTAAAACCACCACCAGTCGAAGCTGATGATATGCTAGGCATTCTTTTAAAACTTTACACTTATTGACTCATTTAATATTTATAACAATCTTAAGAAGTAGCTATTGTTATCCTCATTTTATGTCTAAGGCAGAGCGAGGTGAAGTCGAGAAAAGAATATCTTTGGCACAGATCTAAACATAGAGATATACAATAATTGCTGAATGAACGAACTTACTCATATAGTTCTGTAATCTCATTCTAGTTTCATGAATGATGTATCAACATTTATCTTGAGTTCCTCTTTATAAATATGGCCAAATAAAGGTGCTTCATTTCTACTACTCCAGACTAAAACAGGACCATGCCAAAATTCGGGGTCCCACAAATGCTAAGAGTCAATCTGGGAAGGAATCTTTTATGGTTTTGGATGCTAGTCTGATAACAGTGGCATGAAAGCATTTGTAATTTAGTTAGGGCACGCTTGGTTCTATATGTACTTTTTGAAGTAACTTCCAAGGATTAAGCAACTTTTATCTCATAGCTACTGAGTAAGAGGCATAAAAGTGAAAGAACATCTAACCTATGCTGACTACCAGTCAGCTACTAACTACTTGTGTGCTCTTTGGAAACACAGGTTTATGTGGGGTTTCTTATCTGTGAAAAGAGGGAGCTGGGCTAGAATAAACTGGCTTTAGGGAATTCTAAGTTGGTCATTCACTTATAAAACTGATCTATTCTAAGGAGACTGTAAGAATGAAGAAAAATCATATTAATGCAGAAGTAAATGTTCAGGAAACCAGAACCAAAGCCAGATGGGAACAGTAACTCCAAATACGCTCTGGAGAATCGACTCTTCCACACAGAGAGCTCAAGGAGGTCAGTGGGAAAGTTAAGGCCACTCTAACTTGTCCCATTGTCACTGTGCCTCAATTAATCTAAAATGCAATCAAAACCCCCTGAACCTGAATGTACATGTGTTCAGCATCAATTAAATACATTCATCTTTTGTGGGAAAAAATCATTCTAGCAATACACAAAGCAAATATTTTATGAAGGATTAATTTCAGTAGGAGGAATCAAATCTATTAATAAATAGTTGAGAATCATTTTCATAAAAAAAGGCATAATAGTTGTAAAGAATCACCTGTTAGGCATCTACAGGGATAGGGGATTTTTTGTTGTTGTTGTTAAATGTCAGTTAGGTTAGTATTATTTTGGTGTAAATGTGCATTTGAAAGCCCTCTTTAGGTAAAACATCCTCACTCCCTTGTTTCCTACTATAAGTACAGGACTCTTGAAATGCAAAAAACTCAACAGAAAGCAAAAAAAGCAGACATTCACATCTTTGGTTCCTTGTCCAGGTGTGATCTTAGAACTCCAGAGGACACCCTAAACTCATTTCAGGTCATTATAAAATACTTATCATTAAAATTCAAATGTGAAATAATCTTTAAATGTATTTTTATCTTCAAATGTAAATGCGATCAGCTGTTTAGCATTTAGTGTAGCCAGAAAGACAAATTAAAAAACATTTTCTATGAAAGTTCAAATCTGAAATACACTGTGCAAGGCAGTTCAAAATCATTAGATAAATATGTAATTTAAATGATGTTAAAAACAGGAAAGTCTTACTTAAAGCAAAATACTTCTCCAGAAATTAGATTACTGTGGTGTCCAAATTTTTCATTTTCTTTAAACTGTGTACACCTATCTTCTTACACACTTACAAAAATATACTAAACAAAAAATTCTTTTAATTGTTTAGAATTACCGTCATATAATTATTACATAAATATGAACATAGGGAAGACAAAATTGTGTAGAAAATTTGTAACTGCATCATATATATGCATATGTACACACATACAAAATTATATATATATAATTTTGACTTTTACGATTTTCTTTTGATCAAAAATTTAAATTTACCATATACTATATAATATATAATAGAATTATAAGACTATGATTAGAACAAAGCTGTTCTTTAAAGCTGAATAGTGAGTGAACAATAGTAGCATGGTTCCCAAGATTAATATGATTTGTGTCTAATATTGAAAATGTTAGTCAAATAATAGGCAATTATAATATCCAACTACATTCAACTTTATTATAAATAAGCCCATATTGTGGAAAGAAAACATCATCATGTTTTAAGTTATACGAAATACCTCCATTTCCTCGAAGGCAGTGAAAATTGGCATCTATAAAATATTAGATGATCTCCATTTACAATCAGACCAACAACAGAGGATCAGGGGAAAGGAGCCTACCTTCCATTGCCCTTTTAAAGAAGACCTTACAGCTCCCACAGGTAAGGACACCGTAATGACATCCTGACGCTTCATCGCCACAGATTAAACAGATCTTCTGAGGTAATGACTCGAAGCTGTACTGTGGGCTCTGGCTGGCTTCTGAATCTGGCCTTGAAATGCAAAACAAAGTACTCCATTTATTTTTAGGTGCAACACTATCTAATAGCAAAGTTTCCTTAAGTGCAGAACTGACAGAATGAAGGGATTTTAAAAAACAGAACCGTATACACACACACCTGAAAGACATGCGAATTAAACTTGCAAACCAAACCCCTTGTTGGGTTCACCAGACTTGCAAGTTATTGACCATTCATCAGTAGCACTAACGGGTAACATACAGTTTTTGCTCAGGAAAGTTCAGTCGTACTTTACCAGTGCTTTGGATTTGAGTTTTAAAACTCAACCCCGTCATGGTTGTTTAAACAAGTTTAGGTGTTTGCCATTTTAAAGTAGCGTTCCACACATTGACACTGTTTTGCCTGTTTCCAGCACTTCAGATTCTTTCCTTAAGGTCCCATTTACTCAGCGTGTAAATTAAGTTTTTTTGGAAAACGTGTAAAAAGTTGTAGCGAATCCCAACCAATGTCAGAATACAGTGCACTGCGGGATTGATATTTAAAAATATAATTTAAACGTATTACACAAATTCACTTTCATCTTGAGATTCCTATGGGTATCGATCTTTCTGGCCGGCGGCCCTAAGTCAGGTGCGACCCCCTGCAGGGGGACGGTGCTGCGCGCCCCCCTCTCCCAGACAGGCGTTTGCAGCAGAAGTCCTGCTGGCAAGAGCGGTTTTACGCAGCCCCCGCCTGCGCGCCCCGTCCTCCCCGCCGGCTGCGGCGGAGCTCGCGTGACGCCGCACGTTTTACAGTCGGCGCTGGTCCTGCCTGGGAATCTCGCATTTGGGGCAGAAGAAAAGAAAAAAAAAATGTTTTCGGAGGCTCGCTCCACAATCCTGCCTATTCTGAGCACAACTTTGTGTCCCCCCCCAAAAAAGTGAGGCGGGGAAGGAAGGGAAAAGCAGCCCAATTACGGTGGTGCCCCGCC